AGTGGTGCCCTCCTTGCCGGCGGGGGAAAACGCTGCCCCGACAGAGCTCAGCACCAGCGGCCGCTACGGTGCTCCTCCAGCTCAGCGCGCCCAAGTTTCAAGGCCCAAAGCGCGAGCTCTGGCTAACCCTGCGCAGCCCGACACCACGGGCCGCGGCTTCCACGGAAGCGACGCGCGTCACTGTTAGCGGTCGCACCGATTCTCTGGGCAACTAACTCTCGACACCCAGTTTGGGAGAGGAAGGCATCCAATCCCAGGAACTCTCAGAGGCAGGAGCACAGGGGTTTTTTGGGCAACTTTTCCCCCTTTTAAACTTAAGGGAATTGGCGTTTCCCTTCCGGTTTTGCATGCACGCGTGTTCTTAAGCCAGGTGCCTCCCCCTGCCAGGCCAGGTTCATTTCCAACTCGCCCTTCAGCTGTAGCAGCTCAAGGAAAGTGACACAGCAAAGAGCCCCGTTTTGGTAAACCAGCTCCAGTTCTGCAGATGAGGCACGCAAACAGCCGGCAGCGGGGCAGGCTGCCCGGCTCCCACACAAGAAAGCAATGGCACTTCCCCCCAAACCACCAGAGACTCCTTTATAAATTAAAAAAAAAAAAAACCACTTGTGCAGAGATTTCCTTCGTTTCAAGCGTTTGACTGATGCTCCCCGACAGTAAATGCGCAGTACAAGCCACCAAGAGAAACCCCTAGCAATCACCACTCGATTTTCAAGTCAATTTTTCCCCCTCCCTCCAACTCTCGCCCCATCGTGCACCAGCCTACACCAGCTCTAACTGAAGGGAACGGCAGGCTAATGGCATTACATAACGTGGGTCGATATATGAGGTGCTCTAGTCAACTGGCAGCAGGTTTGTGTGTAGTTACAAAGCAGTTCATCGGGGATTACCTTGTCCACTGAGATTGGGGTTTGTGTAATCCCAGGTATCCTGGTCGTTCTTGAACACGTTCAGGCGCGTGGGCTGTAAAAAAAAACGCACACGCACAAAAATCAGCACGAGAACTTCACTCGGCGAGAAACCAAGGCAGGAGCTGTCGGAAACCGGAGGTATTTACTGTTCTGTTGGACCTTTCACAGTCTCAAGGGATCCCTCGACAAACCGCCAGCCTCCAGTGAACAACTCCTTGCAGAGAGCGGCAGTTATAGCAGCGGCATGAGCCCGTGTAAACGATCTGACTCTCCCCAAGCCCTCATCCAGCCACTCTCAGAAGGGATCCCAGCTCCCTCTCCAGCCTCACGCGGCAAGGCTGCGTGCAACAGCGGTGAGAAAGGGGGGCAAAACCAAAGCTGAGGGAAAAATGAGCTTTTCCATCGACTGTCCAGGTCTTTTAGCCAGCGACGACCGCGTAACTGAGCTCAACTACCCCACCAAAAAGCAGACACTACCTCCATTCTGCTCCAGGCTGCTGTTGACAGAGGAATAGGAAAGGAGCCCCGTTTTCAAAATTAGACCTTTTTTTAAAAAGGTCTAATTAGCGCTAATTACACTGCTCCCATTACCTGCGAAGCCTGGACTCGTCTGAGGCCCGTGCCTGACACGGGCGCCACGTCTCTACCCGAGCTCACGGGGACGCTCACCTTGGCGTATTCGATCTTCAGAGTGCAGCACCCAGAGTAAATGTCAGCCCCGTTGAGGGACGCCTTGGCTCGCTGCGCGCTCTGCACGGAGTCGAACGTTTGCAGCGTTAAGGAAGTTTCTGGAACGAGGTGTTTTTCCCCTCGAGCGGGACGCGCTGGAGACGAGGCCACGCTACCGCGGCCAACGCGCCCGGCACCGGTCAGCTCTGAGAGACCGACTCGGAGACGCACAACAGCAACGAACAACCGGGGAGCCCCGAAAGCCTCCCAGGGCACAGAAGGATATTCCACCATGGCCTGGACTCCGTTTTTTCTGAAGATAACGATCCTCTGCACAGGGCCGCAGGGGTTGCAGATGGTATAGAGCACGTCCTGCAGGACAGGAGAGAGGCGAGACGACGTGAGGAATCGGGCCGACGCGCGGCGCAGCGGCCGAGCCCGCTGGCTTGACAGCCATCCGTGGGAGACCGCAGGCATCTCCGCGCGAGCGGTACTGCCGGATTTCACCATCCCAGGCACGAACCACCCGTAAAGCGACAGGTCCTAACGCTAGGAAGGAAGATTCCCTGCCTAGCCCCACAAACACCCTCTCAGAAACCAAAGCAGCAGAGCTGAGACCACCAACGCGCCCGGAGGAGACTTAACCACAGTCAAAACTCCGCCAGGAGTCCATCCCTCCAACAGTCCTGGGTTAAAACGCTCCGTTATCAGGACGATCTGTTCCCATCTACACCGTGACGCCAACCACCACCCGACCCCTCTCACGCTGCTCTCGTCCCTACAGCACCCAGCGAACTCCGTCCCGGACGCTTCACCCACCGTCGTGATCGAGTAGATAGGGTTGAGGATGGTGAAGAGCAGAACGTTGTTGACGCCCCTGGAGTCATCCGTGTCCCCAGGACGGGATATCTTCTGGCTGGTGGAGTAGTTAACGAAGGCAGGGTGACCGGCAATGTAGATCTGGTTGTCCGCTGCGTAGTTCACAGCGTTGCAGGCGCCGAGAATATCCTCAAACTCCACCAGGGCCTGTCTCTTCTTGGGCATCACCACCACGTAACTAGGGCAGGGAACGCCTCGGTCAGAGCGAGGCGCCGGCAACCCGCGCGCGCACCCGAGCTTCCCGCTCGCCGGACGCGTTTCCTTACCTGATAGGGCCAAATTCCTGAAGAGCCTCCACGAGATCGGCCTCCACAACGCCGTCGATCAGCCCCCGGATGTGAACCACCGGGGAAGCAGGCGTCTTGTGGGGATCGTCGTAGTTCTCCTGGCGGGCAAGAAGGGTTTGTTTCAATACGGCGCCTGCGCCGCGGACAAAGGCAGCCCACCACGAGCCACCGAGGTCTCTTTGTTCGCCCAAAGTTACTCGCGTCTGCGGCGTAGCCCAGGAAAAACCCTCTGAGAAAGGTCTCAGCCACCAGCGCAGGAACCTCAGCAGGTCCTGCCCTCACACGTGTCCCACAAAAACCTGCTGAGCGTCTCAGCCACTGCAGACGAGAGGCCGAATTTGAACCTCTTGGGTCCTGCCCGGGCAGGCAGCCCGGCGCCTTTCCAGCTCCCAGACACACCCCTCCTCCTCAGGGCCCATCTTGGCCCCCCTAAAACCCATCCCCCCCTCTCCCTGAGGGTGCTGAGACCCCCTCCCCGCCACGACCTGACCAAGCCTTTCGCACCCCAGACAAACCCTGTGGTCCCCCCACCACCCTGAGGACCCTGAGCCCCTCCAAGTGCTTGGCCTATCCAGCGTCCCTCGTCCCCTACTCTTATCTCAAGTCCCGTCTTGTCCCACATCTCCAGGCCTCCTCCTGCCCTCCTGTTTGCCCCCGTCAGGCCCTCTCCTGTCCTCCCTTCTTGCCCCCCCCCCA